AATAAGGAAGCTTTTCCAAAAGAATATTGCAAGAAGTGTCTACATTGCACAAATGATTAAAGTATTGGTAATTTATTCGCGTACTAACTACTTACAAGATAAAAATATTATATGTGTGTTATAATAAAAAAAACATATAACTATGTGGAAAATTGTAATCGGTAACTATTTTTTGTAGTTACCTTATATTTGTTATAAAATTGATATATACTATTTACGTTATTTCATTAATTGGAATATAGAATTAAACATTTTGAAATTGGAAGAGACTGCTGCTTAGTAATAAGGCCGCCTTTTATTTATAAGTTATGACATAAGATTTTATCTCTTCAACTTTTTTTTGTGGTATAAATAATAATGCTGAAATAAAAAAATAAATTAGTTAAACAAAGAAGAAAAACTTATTTACTTATAATATAAATTAATATCGTCTACACCGAGTTCACATATTTTTATAAAGTTTTACAATTTATCCACAGTTTCTTGTTTTAGTTTAAAATTGCTGTCTTTAGTTGCCACAGATGAACAAACTCAAACGTCATTGAAGAAATAAATGATATTAATTGAATAACGAATTAAATTTCTTAACGCCGCGTATTAGATAATCCCAGCCCAATATTTGGTCTTGACCTAGCTTCGAGTTACACTACACATAAATCAGACACATCTCTTTCCGTGCTGCAATCACTCTTAGTATTACGATTTAATCTTTAGCAGCCGCACACAGGTTACTTTAAAAATCGTTCTATTTATAATGGTTATAATGTTGGTCTATACTTAGCCAATAGTCTCGTGAGGTAACCGCATCACCTTCGGTCTTCCAACATTGCCACCCTAGAACGCTCATGTATTAAATATTCTGTAATGCCTCGCCGAATTGTGGTTCGGCCGTTTCACCTACGGCTTGTTGGGAGGGTGGGGCAGCGTCAGAATTTTATTGATATAGGCCATAGTTTTAAGAATGATAATGCCCAATTATAATTTATTATAGTAAAGTATAATCTTAATTAATAATGTATAACACGCGATATTTAATTTTATATATAAAAATAATTGCTTTAATGAAATTTAATTGCATCGTTTTAATAGACCACGAAGGTAAAATTCAGACAAGATATTACGTTTATCCTTATAGCAATATCATCGTGTCTGAGGTTTGCCTTAAAATGAATAAAAACGCTAGTTTGTGTTACGAAAAATACACACCACACAGTCACGTTAAGCAATTTTAACTGTATATATGTCGATTTATATTTTGATTACATTTAGGTATTTTATATCATCTTGATGGGAAATCTATTTATTTTTTACAACTACAACTGCTGTCATAGAACTCCTCCGTGTTTCTATGGTTATACATTGCGTTAAAACAAAATCTAGAATGCTTGAAAAATCTAGAGACTAGAATACTAATCCCGTTACATTCAAAACATAGTAAATACTTTTACGGTTTTAAAAGCGATACATATCTTAACTTACTATTATTATTTTATTATTTTAACTACTGCCCGACGTCTCCCCGTGACCACGGCTGCTGCAAAGCATCAGAAACGTCAGGCCGTAGTTTAACTAATATATATATATATATAGTTTTAAGCTGTTAAAGTGTTTTCTCTACTCGCGGAAACTACACACAGTGTTTATAGTAACTACTTTCAACGGGTAGGGCACAGAAATATGCGCAACAACTTGCCTATAAATCAAAACAGTAAAACGGATGCAGAAATATGTCTGTGCATTCTCTATGACGGTTCATATTCAACATTGAGGAGGAAGGATTCAACACACTTTTCTACATAGTTCCTAGCAACTGACATATACAGAACTCTATATTTCTAAGCCCAATAGCTTTTTGTTCGAGTTATATTTGTTTAATTTTTTCAGCGTAAAATGTAAAGACTAGTACCAATTTAGAAGGTTAAATTTAGACAAAACCTGTTTTTCTATCAGATCAGAAAGTGTCCATTTTTTATCATATATTCGAATCAAGTTCAAGTAGAAGTACTTCGATGACCTTGATTTAATGTTGTATGATTATAATCTTTCACTTACAATATTATTTGTACGTACTATACACTATTGTATCTGTTAGTATCTAATAATTATGGCTAATCGATTTATCTGAATATTCATTAATTTTACAAATTATATTTGTCTTTTCACAACACAAGCACAATTTGATAGCAAAAAAAACTTTCAAGACAATGGAGTACCACAAGTGGCCTTATTTATTTTTTATAATTTATTCATAAAAATATCGAAATTAAAACAGTAGTTTTTACTAGGAATACAATACTGTTACAAAATGCTTATATTATAGAAAACAACAGTATCGTTTTCAAACGCCAGTATTAAGTTATAATTTCCTGCTAAATGTTTTTACTACACTGCGTGTGATGGATTACATTTGATATAAAAAAAACATAATGTAACTTGTGTCTTGGAAGAGAAAAGTAAATGTATTTTGACGACAAAAATATTCTTCATAATAAAATAAAACTGATCAAGTACTCATACTCAACATAGTTATTAACAATGTATATATACTACGGCCCGTATCGGATGCTTTGTAGCAGCTATGGCCACGGGGAATATATTTCGCGTTTTAAACCGTTAGAAGTGTTTTATTTAAATGTCTACTACTCGCTTTAAGCACCGGTGGTTGACAGCCACTCAGCGTAGTCTTACTAACAGGATTTGAACACTGAACTCGAAAAATAAGTGTTGAATATTCTGCCACGCCCACTAAGTAATAAGCTATTATCTAATTAATCGTAATCATTACTTATGTAGAGTATAAAACAGATAACAATATTACGAGAAGCTTAGAGACTAGGTCATAAAAGCAAAAAGTTCACGGTTCCTATTGTTATTATGCGGCGAATTAGATTACGCGAACTTATTTGCATCAAGGATGTAATTAATAATTATTAACGTAACCTATGCGTTTAAAAAAAACGACGAAATTAATAATTTTATATTAAACTTGAGATGAAAAAAATGACTTTGGCTTAAAAGTATAGACGAAAAAAAAAATAATGCTCTAGTTGAAATTCGACCGATTCAATCCGTGACTCGACAATCAACGCATTGTATGAAGCTTGTGAGGTCCTAGGTTTGGCTTTTTCCGGGATAAGAAGTCTGGCTAGGAAATGTCTGATCAATAGCCATTAATCAGTGAAGTAGACAAAAATGTGTCTCGTGGTTTTTCCCTCATACGGGAAACGGGATTTCAGCCCCAATGATTTTGCCAGGTTAAGCTCTCTTATTACTACCCTCTTCGACTTTTTTTATGATATAGGAGGACAGACGAGCATGGGGTTTACTCGATAGCCAGGTGAAATACCACAGCCATATAAAATCTGAACGAAGCTGTGCCGTCGACCTGTTTTGCCTTTGGGTCATAGAAAACCCAGAGACTAAAAACCGCGTTTGATCGCGTTTCAAAGCTGAGGGCTTTTTCATCTGTCGACGTCGGTTCGTGACCCGGATGGTATTTTGATATTCCTACCATTCATTTAATAAATATGTCCAGTGTTTACCAAATTATTTGTTTGTTTTTTGAAATGTTGCAAAGTTTAAAAGGAAACGAGTAAGTAGATTATTTTATGTTTATAGAACAGTCTTGGTAGTCGATTTTCGGGCTTTAAAATGTATGTATAAATTCAATATAGTATGAGTGACCTTGGCCTAAGGGATGTCTATGAAAGGGAATTCTCACTTTCGTTCGCGTCCCTAGTTGTTTTTCTGGATTGGAAATGCCTTTACAAACAAAGTCAAACTATTTTTAAATAAAGACAGTAATGCAAAGAATTTAAATGCATCTACGAATCCTTTCCACTTATTAAAAGTACTCAGGTTATATAAAGATAAAGAAATTTCCATTAACGAGAGTAAAATCAATTAACGCTTAATAAAAATGACAGGTAACGTAAAAGCCAGTACCATATGTGATGTATGGGCGACGGATTACCGCGTTCAGTGCACCCATTTAGGGCTCCGCTGGGTTCAAGGGCGCCAAACCGGTGGTGTCGCATCGAGAGCACCTTTCCAATGGAACTCGGCCATTACATAGAGTGTAGATGTGAAATTCTTTGCAATAATAATACAATAATCTTATGAGTTTATTGTTTAAATTGTATGTATTAACATGACCAGTATAATATAATAATCTTATATGTGCCTCTTATATGAATTTAACTCGATTTATTTTATTCGATATTTTCATTGGTGTATGGCCATAATCGTAATGAGTCAATAATAATTAGTTTAATAATGTAACATTTGTTTTGTAACAGAACTTAAGTGAGTTTAGACTAACCTTGTAAATATTTGACCCAATGGAACACACTGAATTAAAATTTAATACTCAGAACCGAATAATTTTCAAATACTAAAGAAATTAAAATAGCATATATTTCATATTTATAACCTCGATTTATATATTTTTATATAATAATTAATTAAATATTACAAGGTAAACAAAACACACTTGGAATAGACAGAAACAACAATAATTATAAAATATAATCCAGTTCAAAATATAATTGCTCAAATTACGCGTTCAAATATTGCATTTTTAACCTTGAGCAGATATAACCACCTTAATAATTACTGGAATTATAATAAACGAAAGTGAACGTTAAAACTTATGGTGAATTATGTACTTGGATATTTTATTTCTATTGAGTCGATAAGAAACATGTAAAGTGTTTGTTTATTCACGGAGTCACTACTGATTGTTGGAGATTTAATTCAAAAGCTCACGCACTATGTAGTTAACGTATTGCAATCCAGATAGGCCACTGTGCGAATAATGTTGGTGTAAAAAATAATATTGTTGAGACATCGAGCGCAGAGCGTATACACATTGACGTTTGTCCCGCCCGACGGTGTTTCGCATACGAAGGACTCGCGCGAACCGAAGCAAGTCCAGCATTTAGAGGGGCAGTGGCGAAAGTTCCAAATATTCAACTATAAAAACTCTAGACACTAACCGAATGGCATCCAGTCCGATTCCCGACTTCAACCACCATACAAGAGGCATTATGAAAACAGCGGTGAGTGCTGTGCTGTGCTAGTGAAGTGGAGTGACTTCAAAAAAGCGTTAGGGCGTCCTTTGTCGCGAAGTGTTATGTGCTATTCAAGTGATTATTATCCGGGATGTGATACACTTTTTTGAAGTCGCCGCTTCGAGATTAATATTCGAAGTTCTAATTTGTATTGGTAATTCAGGAAGACAATAAAGTCTCTACCAACGTTATTTATCGTCTCGGTTCTTAGTTTAAGTAACTAATGACATATCTATGTTCTTAGTAACTTAAACTTTTTTATTAACAAATTTAAATATACGTAGCTTCGCATATTTATATAATTTATAATCATAATAATCTACTAAATAATCATTATCATTATAATTAAGCAAACATCAGATAAAGAAAATAATACAGTCTAGAAGCTACGGTTTATCTCGTAGCACGCTCTTCATCGTCAAATTATAATTCAGCATTGTTAGTTATTACTAAAATTAGATAACAAAAATGATCTTCCATTAGGCACAAATAAGGTCATAAGTGCATAATATGTAACAATACGTCCTAAGAGTCACTAGATGTTACATCATATTAAATATTTATAATCTATCGATACAGGTTTCAGACTAGGAAGAAAGCTAGGTAGTCTAATATCGAGTTACATCTGAGTTAGAATCCAGTTAATTGCATAAGAGGAAGTTTATAGTGCGTAATACTTTTGAAGTATGTGTAACTAGTAACTTTAAGGTCGACTGACCGCATTTAATTTAAATATTTTCATTGATAAATACCATACATTTGATTCATAAAAAATAATCATTTCTCTCTAAAATAAAGGAATCGTTTTCGACTAGGCTACGTAGACTACGTATTTTGTCAATGCAAAGGAGAACCGAAAGAATATTTGTCAATTATTTGAAAGAGTGAGCAGAAAAAGTTTTTATCATCTCTGTTGCTATTTATCCACATTGTATCATCGTAAAATGGAATCCTAGGGCATCATGCAATAAGTAATTATAGTTAATCTAAAACTATATAAATTATTTTAATATAGTTTTAGTGGTTTAGTAGCAAAAGGATGTGATGGTAATTCTAGTAGGCCTTCGTTTATGCAAAAACTTAAAGCTGCGTGAATGTAATACGTGATCAATTTATCGTCTACACTTTATGTGACCCGAGTCATTAGGTTCGAACAGTTTGAGATTATTCACACCTAGAAGATTGTATTACTAACGTAATGTGAAACTTATTTCTCAGACTCGGTTACTAAGAAAGTTACGAAAAGGTAACTGCGTAGTAATAAATTATTATTAGTTTATAACTCAGCATAGGGTTTAAAAAAAATCATCATAATTATATTTTAATATCGAGATTTGTTATTGAAGTATAAGTTTTTTTATTAAAGAATTATGTAAGAAGAAGTAAATATGATTTTAAAATATGTAGGGATAAAAAACATTATTATATAATTGAAGAGAGTAAAGTTCTGGGACGAAACTATTATAAAAATGACAGATGGAGCTAAGACATGAGTAATATTCCACTCCATAAGGCATACCATAAACGTAAGTGCACTAAAAAGTGAAGAATAAAGTTAGGTAAGTAGCCCCGAAGTATTGCAAAAGCGCCATAAGAACACTATCCCACGACCAACCCGATCGTTTGGCCTCGTTCGATGTACTCATTGATTAGCGACCGGTAAACAAAGAAAATTATTCGGACACATATGTACAGAAGGACAATAGCTAGATTTTTTATATAAAAACTAAGCGTTAACACATTAAAAAAAGTCGTAAAAATAAGGGGTATTTTTTTATATTATTTGTCAATACTTTTTTTTAAATGTCTATTTTATTAGGACTAATTAAAATAGACGAAAAAGTATATACAAGAAATGCCAGCTTGTAATTTTATAGGCAGCTTCAGTCTCTTGTTTACGCGAGAATCATTAAAATAGTTTTTACGGTTAGGAACGTTAAATAGGGTAAAAAAAAACAACATTATAGTACCGATATATGTGTGTAAGCCGTTAAACAAGGGTTCTACTACGCTTATCATAGCAATATCACCCAAATATTATTTTTCTATGAAGTCGTAGATATTGTATAGATAAATTATTTTGAAGTCCAAATCATTATAGAAAATATGTTAGTCTTGCGTAATGTGTTAAGCAAAATAAATTTCCTCATGAAATGAATAACTGTTTTGCAAACATGTCGGCGGCTAAAGGCTGAAGTCGTAAAGACGAGTGTCATCAAGCCCGATACGTACTTTTTTATTGAACTTATGTTTTTATCTGATTATATATGATTCTTATTTTTTTATTTTCACCCGTTCGGAAAGTGTAACTTTTTGTAAGTTTGTATTAACTTCGTTATAGGTCATAATCATGTTCTATTATTTTTTTTATTCTCTTTGATAAAATGTAATTTAAATTTGTACTTATTTATTTCTAAGTAGAAATGTGTGTTATATTTTTCACGGTTTATTAATACACTTAACAATGGTTCTAATTTCATTATTTGTACATTTTTATGCAAATTAGTTATTAATTGGTCGACTGATTGGACTGGTATTGTGTAGACTTGCTATGTAAGGTGAATCCACTAACTTATGTTTACTGTATCTACCAAGTGTTATCGTAACCGTTATGCACATGCAGTGCGTAATTGCACAGTACGTTACATTCTTTATATAGGACAATGCAATTCTTGCTTAACACTTAATTGGTGTTTAGCTGAATATTATGTGTATTCGGTGGAAATAAAGCGAAGAACACACTTTGATGTGTCGAATTGTTTTAGTCTGTATCCCAAAGCTGAAGTGGTATTTTATTTATGTAATAAATTTTAAATGAGTAAATAAGGGATATGTTTTAAATATTTTAAACGAGGATTTATAATATTATGTCTCAAAGGGTGAAAGACTTGAGACAATATTTTGTTTATACATTTATACAGTAAATGATAGTAGTTTAAAAATAAAGTTTTGAATCGATGCAAACCAAAATAAATAATATGACAACCCAAACACTCAGACAAGTAAAAATTAAAGCACAAAATAAAAATCAATATTGTATCTTTTACAGATTTATACAGCTCTCTTGCTGGTAGCATCAGTTGCTGCCAGCGAGAAGTCGACGGAACAGAAGGCTGAGCCTTTGGAGAAGAAATTGGACAAACGTGGTCTCCTAAACTTAGGATACGGCTATGGTATTAGCGGGCTAGATGTCGGATATATCGGCAGTGGTCACGGAATCGGCGGTGCCTACAATACAATCGAGCACGGTGGTCTGTCCCATGGATACGGCAACTTCGACCTCGGACACCGTACTGACATCACCAGAACCGTCACCCTCGTCAAGGGAGTTCCCTACGCCGTACCCGTCGACAGACCCGTCCCATACCCAGTAGAGAAACACGTGCCCTACCCAGTGAAGGTGCCCGTACCCCAGCCCTACGAAGTCGTCAAACACGTCCCAGTTCACGTTAAGGAGTACGTTAAAGTGCCAGTGCACGTGCCCGCTCCTTACCCAGTGGAAAAGAAGGTTCCCTACCCAGTTCATGTACCAGTCGACAGGCCTTACCCCGTCAAAGTCCTAGTGCCCCAACCTTACCCAGTTGAAAAGCACGTGCCTTACCCTGTCAAGGTCCCCGTGCCCCAACCCTACCCCGTGGAGAAACACGTGCCATACCCCGTCGAAGTTAAGGTGCCCGTTCCCCAACCCTACCCAGTTATCAAACACGTCGGAGTACCTGTCAAAGTTCCAGTTGACAGACCCTACCCTGTTCACGTACCTGCCCCATACCCAGTTGAGAAACCAGTGCCCGTAGCCGTCCCCGTTGAGAAGCCCGTCGCCTACCCCGTACACGTGCCCGTCGATAGGCCATACCCCGTTCACGTGGAAAAACCTTACCCAGTTCCAGTAAAGGTCCCCGTTCCAGAGCCCTACCCAGTATACAAGCACATCCCAGTTGAGGTCGAGAAGCCCGTCCCTTACCCAGTGAAGGTCCCAGTCGACAGGCCCTACCCCGTCCACGTAGAGAGGCCAGTGCCCGTCGAGGTCGAGAGGCCAGTGCCAGTCCCAGTCAAAGTACCTGTCTTCGTGGGACATGAAGGCGGACATGGCAGCAGTTACGGCGGCCACTATGCTACGGAGGCTACGGAGGCTCATACTACGAGCACTAGGGTATTATTATTTAGTTATAAGCAATTACGCTAAACTCACCAGCGCTATTTATATCTCGCCAGGTTACGGCCGGGACACCAGCAAACTATCCCTCTTGTATATTTATACTGTCATTCACTGAGATGTCATGTAAAATAAGTGTACCACGTGATTGCATAGGAGTACATGTTCGTTGTGATGAAAAGGTTACCATTTTTAGGCTAAGTTGACTGTAAAATACGAAATAAATAAAAAATTATAAAATAGTGAAAGGTTTTATTTTCGAGGAGGAAGTAATTCGGAAGGCCGACAGTTAACGTACGGATAAAAATGGTAATAAGGTGACTAAACTGACCTTCAAGGATATTAATGAAGGTAGTTTGGGTTATTGTATTTTGATTGACATGAGCTTTACGCGGTGGTCAGATATCAGAAGTTAATAACATAATTGTATGGAAATTGTAATACCAATAACAACAAGACTAATTAAATTATTTGCAGCCTATAGTTGACTTGAACACTTTAATATTTTTCCATTACCACTTATAAATTAAAAAAACCGCATGGTTTAGAGCAACAGCACGGTTCTCTGTGGATGCCGGCCCCTTCAACCGCATGGTTTAGAGCAACAACACCGTTCTCTCTTTGTTCCCGTTCAATTATGCCCGGGTCGTATTTTTTTCAATTGATAATCTTTTTCTTACACGCTGTATGAGTGTTTTTTTCATTTTGCTTTTTTACTTTGTATATTTTTGTCAAATGAAATTTAAAACAAAGAAAAAGATACCAACCCAATAAAGAATATGGTAAACTAACGGCTGATATAACGGAGAAATTAAATATATTTCGAAGCATGTGTTTTAAAAATTGCCGAGTCACTAGAAATATTGTTTACGTAACGTACGATAAATGTCGGTTAAGGTCAAGTTTTGGCATAAAGTGGGCTACTTCGAGTCAGATGGAGTAACAGATGAGCTTGTAGTTTATAAAATGTAATATTAATAATTTCATAATCTTGTTCATCTTCCTTAATCTTGCTGCGATACACATATATTATAAACATTTTAGCATAACCAATATTAAACATGGTAGGTAAAGAACATTCTAGAGGTACGCGAAATTAATGAGCAAAATAAGCAAAGTTTCAAAACGATTGCGCATAAAATGCGTGTAGATAAAGGCATAGTAAATGTAAGGAACAAAGCGTGTATTGTCCCATTGTTGGACTGGCCTCTCACAGAGAATTACTGTACGAATAGGCGTATTTAAGAATCAAAGATTTAGTATTTGTAAAAGGTATTTGGCTAATTAAACAATACAATTAAATGCAGCTGGCCTATCTTAAAAAATACCCTGAGAATTGAAAAGATAACATGACGATGTTAGAACCATTTAATTAATAACATTTTTTAACACTTATTGGAACGCAATATGGTTTGGTTAATCACGATGCCATGTTTAAAATATCGTACACTTTTCAGCCCTGGGATGACCACAGCCGACAAAAATTAACTAACATTAATTTCGCGTTTAAAACTTTAACCCAAAAAATGGTTTGTAATTTAAGTATTACCTACCTTGTAATTATATATTATAAATCTATACATCGCAATAAGGTGATATTTGGAAACCGTTCTTATACAAGGTTTTCCAAGGTTTTCGTGTAATTAAAAAATATTTTCCTGGCGTGTTGTATGTTATACGATATGATAAATTAATAAGATATAATCATTAACAAGTTTCCTTTTGATGTGAACATTAAGAAATTACATTAAATTATTTAACGAAAAGTAAGAATTTTTAAATTGCAACCATCGGAAGTAATTTGAATGATCTTACAACCTTGTTTACGATCTCACATTAAACTTATAGTGCATAATTAAATAAAAAAATGTAAAAGTGTATTATAATTGTGAAATGTAATTTATATTAAATATCTCTTATTTGTCGCTGTCTGTGTAAAACAGGTAATTACTAAGACAGATTCTAGTAAAACGGCGTCCTCATAGAAAAAAGTTCAACGCGTTTTTACGCTTGGGCGCTGCTAACAGTTAGTTTTTTGACTATTGTCAGAGTTTGTTCCTTTTAAGGTATTTTACGGATATGCTTTACAGCTTTTCCATCAGTCGGTGGTGGTTCGTAAGTCATTTTAAATGGCTACTTAACATAATGGAAACTTACATTTTAGTCAAGAGAAAATATAGAATCGATCCGTTGTAATTAAAACTAGGATACTGGTTGTTAGGTGAATGTACGAGATTATCAAAAGTTTAAGGATTTTGGATACTTTAGCGTATTGATCCTTATAAACGATTATCAAAATCATTGTTTAATGTTACGAACTATAAATTTTACAAAAAAATCTCATAAAATACGTGTAAGTAATTATTGGAAAATATTCAATACATACTCAAAGTCATAAAAAAATTAATTATCACGCCATCTATATGTCGACACGTAAAACACTCCTATTTTACTACTGTAACAGGCATTTTATTGATTACGTTACTCGTTTGTTTTAAGTAACTATAGAGGGCTTTATTTAACTTTACAACCTTTATTTACTTTTAAATAATTGTCTTTATTTGAGGATGTAATTTAAACCGTGACTTATATGCGAACGAATCTTTTACGAAAGCAGCAAATCATTGAGTCATCAGCAAAAAATATTTCAATGTTAGGTACCTACTTGTTGATTGGAATTAACTTTAAAATGCTATAAAATATGCAAATCATAAAACTAAGTATTTATTCTAAACGAAAGTAGATTTTACAGTGCCCATAGAAAGGTCGTGTGACGGAAGTGTTTAACATGATCACAACTATATATGTATAGTGAGTTCATGAGTTCGATTCTCAGTCGTGCAGCAAAGTACCATTGCGCTATGGTAAAGACAGCCATTATGAGTAATTGACATATTAATTAAAAAACTATCATTAGAAACTGTGCAATGCGAAATAACGTTAAAAATATCAAGCAATACACATACGTTCCAAAAGTATCTTGCATAATAAAAAAAGTGATTTAGAGCTCTCTTATTTCTTAACAAGACATACCTCTCACAGCATTGATAATATATTGCAACGAGAATGATTCATTATATTTTAATAGATCTCAATGTCGTGAGCAAATTATATTAGCAATCTGTGTGTGTGAAATCTGCTAATAACCAATTTAAATTGTTTTAGATGTTATTCTTAGTAAAATAATGGTGGTAAAACTTTCACACATCATCATGTATAAAAATATTTGAGCAATTATTTATCATCATATATTATAGGCTTAATAGAGGAGCCACCCCGTTTATTTTCAACTCGGGCAGGACTTGAACCGGCATCGTCAGCGATCCGTGTCCGAGCTTAAAATTATCGAGTTTTCGCTCGAAACTTTTGGAATAGTAAAAATGGAATTTAAAAAAAGGAAGAGTTAAATTATTTCCAATGGACGACAAAGAACGAATGAGAATCAAATAAATCTTTCTTTTCAAAATTATTTTTATAATTTCCAATGTATATTAACAAGAAAGAATATTATCAAAACCTGGTCTGTTATTTTTATGAATAGAAAACAGTTGTAGATCTAATTGCCTTTAAAAAACTTTTTAAACGCGAATATTTAAAATAATTGTAATCTAATTGCCTATTCGTTACATTACGCACATTTAAAGCACATAATGTATGCCTTGTAGATAATCGTCGAGCCGCTTCTTGTTATTACCGAAATAAACACCTCGTAACATGAATTTAGAACGTTTTGGTCAAATCACGACGTGCTTGTGTAAGCACCATTTGGACAAACGTTACATGTCGTAAGAAGTAACGAGAAGATGAGAAGATGACTTAAAAGAACAGCAGGGTAAGATTGCACTAGAGGGCTCGACACAAGGTTCAGTCGAAGAATATTAGTCAGCTATATGAATGGGAAATGTAAATAATAGTAATAAATAAAAAATCTATTTAGATTAAAAATAACCTGATGCAATGGGCGGGCTGCGAACCGGCTTCATGTGCATATCAAAATAAGAGTATAGTAAAGGTACGAGTAAGTACTACTTGTTAACACTGATTTTCTGGGCTTAACTGCAGTTTGCATAATACGCATGATGTCTTTGAAAGACAGGAAAAAATTAGCTTAGCTAGTTTGTGGGCAAGGCACAGAAGGCTGATAAAAGACGCGTCTGGTGAAAAAACCAAGCAGTTGATTTACTCAAATTTTTTTTTGCAGTGACAAAGCGCAAAGTGCAGTGCAAAATGTATTTCATATGTCAAATAACTGATACGTAGTTTAGTTACATATTTGACTTAAACACACTCAGAATTTATACCGCGAAAAACCTAACCTAAATTGGCTAAAACCAACTATTAAGATCTCTTACTATTTAAAGGAATGTTGTAAGATTGTAGGGAACGAGGCCAATCATAATTAATAGTATGATATAAGTAATTTTGTTGCATACATAAGTATCACAAGTATTTTATAGTATCAAGGTCGCGTAGTGTTTACATGAGAAAGGAGGTTATGCGTAAGTGTCTAGAACAAACAGTTTGTTGCATTGGTCATTTGGCAAGATATCACGTGATAATGTCGTTTGATGACTTACTTTCCCAGTGGTTTAATTACAAAGGGAAATTGATTTTGTTGCCGAAATATCTATCTATATATATATAGAAAAGCATGTAGTAGACTATAATTTACATTACACACATTTTTCCTAAATTTTGAAAAAAAAAATTTTTTTTCGGCTTTTTGTTGTTATATTATGATTATCATAAAATCTTCATTACGTAAAATGAGATAAAACCATAATATAAACCGGTCTTTTAAAAATTCAGTTTCTCCGAAACATCGAAAATATTTTTATTCTACATAATTGAAAAATATATTTAGCTTTTAAACCGTTAAAAATATATTATTATGTGGGTAACAAAAACGAGACCACAGTCTATATTAGAGTATTTAATTATAGGTAATTAAAAAAGCTTTCATTACCTTTCTAAAAGCTTTGCAACATTAAAGCATTTCCAATTTACACAATATTATAATTCCATCTTATTCTATTACAGCGATCTGATAGATTGTATTTGTTGCAATCTTATGTGTGGTCCATTGCATAGACAACAGCGAGTTAAGAAAAAACAAACTTTTTTTTTACTAAAGTGTTATACTTTAAAAAATGTTCTCTTCTTGTATTATTTATTAAACTTCGAAAATTTCTTAGTATTTTTAAATACTGTCTATAGTTTACGCGAGTAGTACACATTTAAATAAAACACTTTAACGTTCCCTCGTGACCACGGCTGCTGCAAAGCACGCGAAACGTCGGGCCGAAGTTAAAAACAATAGACCGTTTAATTCCATAACTGGGATATTACAGAGCTACGAGTTCGGCTCAGTACGTCCGATATTATGACAACTTCGGTTTCGACTTCGGCTTTTAAAGCGGAGATTTGCGGCGATTGTTAAAACAATCTAAATACATGTCGCATGGTTAAATCCCCTTTCTCCGAGAGAAGAAGAGTTAGGATCTACAAAGAAACCTTTTCACTTAATACTTGGACCACCAGCGGGATGTTAGGCCGTTTTGCTCCACATACGGTCTACGTACATTAGACGACATTGCAAAATTTGCACGCATTTTTCAATACAATCAACCTATTGTTGAGATTTGTAATGACTAAGGTAATTATGGTTTTACAACTTGAACTCAAAATGTATGAAAGTCAAGGTTACAATTTGTAAAGCGGTAGTAAGTAAGTCTTCGAACAAAAAATTCCCTTTTGCCATGGGGCAGACATATTTCTGCGCCTATTTTACTAATCAATTTAATTTACAAAGAACGTTGGTAAGTAACACTTTCGTTCTCTACGTGAGTAAATTGTGTACTTTGTTTTCCCAGAAATCGAACTGTGCTCCTCTCGTACTAAACGCCAATGCCAGACTACGCAGGAGGGGGTCAATATGCTCATAAAGATAAATAAATTTCAATGAATGTGATATGATTATATATTTGTTAATATTATGTTTCATAATAGAGATATAAGTATTTTCGTTGAGCTTAAATTTCAGTGTGTGTTACTACACGGATGGTTATTTAATACTTTACAATTTCGTCAATGATATCTTTGTGCAATTTTATATAAAGATTCAAGTTTGAAGGGTAAATTTACAAACACGTTATAAAATTACGTATTTTTCTTTTTTATAATATAACTACTGACTAATATGGGTACCGTTTCACGCGCAATGGTTGAGTGCCTTGTATTACGTTAGATGTGAGGTCGTGGCTTAGAATCCCTGGCATGTTCATTTTATTTTTACAACTTTTTAATCGTATTCTTAAGCTAACGAATTTCAGTAAAACTTTATATTTAACACGTCACACGTCAATAGCCTTAGAGTCCACCTGAAAATTAGTGTAGCGCCTTATTTGTATTTTGCTGATAGTAGGGCCCTTTTTGCCATCTGAAACCTACGTAACCTTCGCTCGAATCGAATAATGTATTTTTTATGATGACAAATAAATGGTATTTATCTTTCTCTTCATACCTAACCTTAATATCTCTAACATATTATGTTTCAAACTCACTAGACCCAATTTATTACGTAAAAAAATATTTTGTGTAATTGTTACTAAAGTATGTCGACATGTGATAATAACATACTGCACCTCAAGGAGATTCAGAGCGTACAATTGTTTAATGCTATAACGTTATTATATTTAATTTGATTTCGCCGGCTTTGTATTTAATTTTAGGTAAATTTGAATACACGTTATAAATAAGAAAGTAATTGCTATTAGAAAAAGCTTATGTATCCTAAACATACAAATCGTTATTAAATATTTTTGTAAAGTCGAATCTTAAGGTTACGCAAGTACATTAAAAAAGTTTAAAATACTTTTATTTAATTAGTTTGAAACAGTTTAAACGCGAATAATATCAAATACTGTCTGTTGTCTACGAGTGTAGTACACATTTACATAAAACATAACGGTTTAAAACGTGAAATATTAGTTACCCAATTTTCATTTAACTCGACTAAGGCTGCTACAAAGCATCCGAAGGTCGATTTCGCGTTTTAAACGGTTAAAATGTTTTATTTGATTGCGAATGTCGTTGCGATCCGTTTTGAACAGTTTTTTAATGCTATTACTAAATACCCAGTGTCAAATACAGTTTGTCTTTTGCTTCGGAATATTCTTTGTTCAAAAATATTTTCCGAATTGAAATTAGTTCATATACCCTTCTTGATAGTATATTCTGAGACAAAGTTTACATATACGCTCTTTGCAGTAAACATCTGTTTACTCTACTTTAGGTACTCATATAATTACGAATTGAATAACAAACCTTTTGTTGTCAAATACGAGTTTGTTTATAAGTTTAAGAGTAGAGTCAAATGTATCTGCAAAAGACATAGAACAAAAGGGACCTTGGACAAAAATGGCTGTTTACGACACTTTAGTTCACTATCATAAGCTATGTGTGGTTTAGCAATTCTATAACAATGACCTGAAAGTATACCGAAGAAAATATAGCCTTGCGATGAATGAAATTATATTCTTTAAAGTAGCTTATTACTGAATACTCTGGGCAAATATGATTATCCTTGAATCTGTAAAAAAAAACAAAGAAAATTGTTTAAAGAATTTAAAAAATATAACTATTTACATGTTCAAATAAAACCGATTTAAAACGCGAAATGTATTTGTAAATTTATTAGAGCGAGATTTTCGCGTTTTGAACCGTTCGAAATTGTTTTATTTAAATGTGTACTCACGTAAACTACAGACAGTACTTATAACGTTGTTCTTCATTTCAGGTTAAATGCGGCTGTCTTGAGTACAAGAGAAGTAAAAATATTTATACTAAAACTCTATCTGTCTGTCTATCTATCCGTTTAATAGAGTTACGCGAGGTAGGCTACAGATGCAAAGATAAATACGCTAAATTGTTTTAACGGCACTATTACTTACACGCCATCGGATAATAATTAGCTAACCATAGTATCAGTTTCAGCTGGTGAAGGGCTTACTTTCAATAAACAGGAATGCTAAAGCGTGTGACAGTTTAAATTGTCTGTGAATAAAGATCTATCTAGCTTCCGTAACATAAAAAAAAAAAAAAAAAAAAATTATTTATTTTTTTTTTTTTTTAATTATTGATGCTTTAAAAAAAACGAATGAAACGAAGGAAAATGTGTTGTGGAAATAAAGTAAATACGGATTATATTGAGGCCAATAATTGAAATAACTTATTTTTAATAGCTTTTCATGATCTCACCGCGTTATGATTTTGTTTTGTACTAATGACCGGATGTTGTATTTAAGTTATTAATTTAATACACCAAGTGAGCTACGCAGTTTATAGATTGTGCGTAAAATACGTAGAATTTTCTATCTAAAATATAAGGAGGTATTTGAAGAAATGAAATAGAAATACAGATTATAAATTTCTACATTCCAGCGGTTATCATTAACGTTTATTATAATTATATGTTTTTTATTAAATTACATTGATTATAGTGAAATGCTTAACGATTTCAGATCTGATCTGACTAAAGGTACTGTCCGTATTATCTCGAACCGGTCCAACTCTGCAATGGCAATATGGAGCGTTTTGGCTTTGCGCCTTGCGTTACCCCTCGAAAGCGAAAGTGTAGGACTACAGAGGTGTCTTTTAGCTCCGCCACTCATGCAGTTCATATAAATACCGAAGCCGAGATCCAACACGCATCATTCACATACAGGACTTCGCTGCCTTCAGTGCAACCAACAAGAGCAGCATCATGAAGCTCATGGTGTGTGTCCCATATTATTAGTGCTTGTGCAAGTGTACTACGTGACAGTTAGGGAAATATTCTGGGTACACACTATACCCCAATTCGGGAACGACCCGCGCCCGTTTATCTTCGTGTTCTTATCAAATTAATTAAAAACACCTATTTAAAATTTTTTCTCTTACTTCCGAAGTTTATTTTTAGTTTTGAAATATAGCAAAGTATATCCTTTATTTTAACCGTATATTATTAATTACAGCTCGTGGCCGCCAGTCTGGTGGCTGTACTGGCTTTCGCTCAAGCCGAAGAAGCCAAAACAGCAGAAAAAGAAGTGGCAGTGACCGACAACAAGGCGGCAGCAGACGATAAAAAACATGAAAAACGTGGTCTTATCGGGCTCGGTTACGGACACGGTGGATTCGAAAGTGGATACGGTGGTGGCTTTGGCGGAAGTTACGGGGGTGGCTTTGATGGTGGTTTTGGGGGTTACGGTGGACATGAAGAAGTTCACAAAACCATCACGGTTGTAAAGAATGTCCCAGTACCTTACCCAGTAGAAAAGCACATCCCATACCCCGTTGAGAAACATGTACCTGTCCCTGTCAAGGTGCCAGTACCACAACCTTACCCTGTCGTCAAGCATGTTCCGTACACCGTGAAGGAGCTTGTCAAAGTTCCAGTTCACGTCCCCCAACCCTACCCAGTTGAAAAGAAAGTTCCATACCCAGTTCACGTACCCGTTGACAGGCCAGTCCCAGTGAAGGTTTATGTGCCTCATCCCTACCCCGTTGAAAAGGAGGTTCCAGTACCCGTAAAGGTACCAGTTCCAGCTCCATACCCAGTAGAAAAGAAGGTCCCTTACCCCGTAAAGGTTCCAGTGCACGTACCCGCTCCTTACCCTGTAATTAAGGAGGTGCCCTACCCGGTCAAGGTCCCAGTCGACAGGCCTTACCCAGTACACATTCCCAAACCAGTACCTTACCCAGTAGAAAAGCCTGTACCTTACCCAGTAGAGAAACCCGTGCCCTACCCCGTCAAAGTACCAGTCGACCGTCCTGTACCAGTACATGTCGAAAAGCCAGTGCCCTACCCCGTCAAAGTACATGTGCCAGCACCCTACCCCGTCGAGAAGCACATACCAGTGCCAGTTGAGAAACATGTCCCAGTGCCCGTCAAAGTTCTCGTAGACAGGCCCTACCCCGTACACATTGAAAGGCACGTTCCAGTGCATGTGGAGAAACACGTTCCCTACCCCGTTAAGATACCCGTTATCGTCGGCCACGGTCACGAGTATGGTCATCATGGAAGCTATTAATGGCTGCAGGAAGAAGAGGCTTTATTGTGATATATAAATGTAAGATTAGCACAAATAACAACGGTCCACGCCAGAGTATTGGTAACCACTAGATCTCTACATATTACTCTGTGGCTAGGCTGTTTCGCACTGATACGACTTGCTTAATAGTTTTTTTTTTTTGTTATATTTTTTTTTCGAAACCTCACCGGTTGTTGCGTTGTATAATTTCGAGTTGATGTACCTGTTATTGTGAACGAAAAAAATGTTACCCTTAATGGAAAAGTTACCAGTATTTATAAGTAATAAACTTGGCTATGCCAAAAATGAACGATCGCTATTATTGGTTCTCCTATTGTCTCATACATAATTACATGAAGTGTGTTATTATTCGATCCGTAGACCGTAAGTATTTGCGAAATACGACATAATACGGCCTAGATTAATATCGCATCGCAAGCCGCTCGGATCGCCGCTAGTTAAATGGTGGCGAAACATTTGACAATAAACGCATGCGCTGTTGTTTTGCGTAATTGACTTAGGCAAATGTGTTTAAGACAAGCATAAGCTTTATAATATTTAAATTAAACTTTAACGTCAAAGTCGAACGCAACGTCGGGCCGTAATTTGTAAACGAGTTCAATAATATTTTCGCGTTTTAAAGCAATAATAGTGTTTATTTAGCTTAGACGTCTTTAGAGCAGTACTCATATTATACTATAATACATTTACGGTATAACGCTAATATTACCACAAACTACAATTTGTTAGTAAAAAATTACTCCCTGCCTTTACACCTGCCATTAGCAGGCAAACGCATAATTTGTGCAGGATGAGTTACCAACTTGCTCTTTGATCTTCGCAATAAAACTTCTCAGTAATGGGTTTGTAATTCAGGCTATTTACCAAATGAGCTCATGGACAGCTTTAAATTTATAATTTTACTGTTATGTATATAGTCATATGTTGATTAAATACTTGGCCTTATCATCGTATCGTTTGATAATCCCATCTGACATTAAGAACGCGTGGCATATACAAATACTATAAGAGTGCAAGTAGACCTAAAAATTACATAATCTGTAACAATGTAATCTGCCTCGAATCCGGTAGCGTATATGCGTGCGGTGTATATAGATCGCCATTTTATTACAATACTTAAAATGTACGCTAGTATTTGTTCTAGTTTTAAAAGTATTACTTACGTAGTCGTAATTCTTACGAGTTAATAAACATCTTTAAACCTTTTACTGAAAACGTCGTAAGTAACAGTTTAAAGAATTTGCATTGTTGCAGAATTTTTATAACCCTTATGTTTTTAAATCTTCAAAGGAAGATTAAATATCGAAAGAAAGGATTTGAGCCTAGCTTATTTAAAAAATAATTTAATTCTCCTTTTTATATTTCAGATTTTAGCATCACATGGCCCTACATATTAAGTGTCGCAAATAACCTAGAGCAGTATTTGAAATGCAAATTTAACAAAATTTTAAACCTGGCTATAATTCACTAAAACGTTAGCTGTAGGCTCTAGAATTATCATAAACTAGAGCTTTCGTATTACAGAACTCAATCAGTCATCAACGAGTGTATTTTGCCTTGTTACTTGCAAACTACAGTGGTAATGTTTTACGTAATTTTCGATACGTTTAAGAATTGCATCATAGTTAAAATCAAACATAAATTGTTAATGGATTTTATAATTACAATTAATATTAAACAATACTAGTTTTTGTAGTTGTTTATTATTAATGTAGCTACTGATATGGTTAAATATATTGGTTCTGCTACGAAGAAGGGATATTAGAAAAAGTATCGTTTTATCGGACTAGGAATTGAATACTTTAGCCAGAATGGCTTCTTAACGTCAGTAGATTTGATCAAGGGAGTTTAGATTGGTCAAGTAATTATAAATTTTGAATCAAGAGCTTTCGTATTTACGTAAACAAAGGAAGTGAGTGCGTCGATTGTTTAATTAAATTTCGCAAACAAAGCGGATATTACTGTCACATACAGGGCGTGGTATTTTAAGTGATCTTATTAGTAGTTCAAATGTTATTATATATATAGTATTAATAATGTGTTGTACCAATATACTTTATAATTTTAACAAATTGATTCCTATTTGACACCAAACATGAAAGGATTATCCATGTTTATTTATTTTAAACATTAAAGGTTAAGACTGATGTATTCGCTTTAATGTTATTTTCAGAAAATATAAATAGTTTAATAATAGTTTTTAATAGAATTGTTTTAAACCACTCACATTAAAATCAGCTTAGTTAGCGCTAAAATAGAACGATTTACACTGACTAAATAATTTATTTTAACTTAACCGATGTCGGGTAAAAACAGACTATCACAAAGTAACAATATTGTTTCTCGCTTTGAAAGTCAATGACCCGCCATATTGAAGGTCAGGATTCCGCTATTGTTTAGATAAATCTGCGCAGACGGTACTTTTTTGGCAATTACATATTTTTTTATTACTAATGTCATATTAAAACACACATATATTAACTGATTTTCGATTTATTTACTTGCTAAATTGTTGATATTTGTTACTGTTTTGGTAACATTTATAAGACTCATTTTTGTCAAAAAATTATATGAATGGCTTTTGTTTTTACGAAGCAACAAACATATTTTATGTATATGAACAAGATTTCTCGTTGTTGATATTACGAAGTGTCATATTAGCAAACGCAGTATGTAACGCGTTATTGTTACGAGAAAAGTTTATAACTTTTTACTGTGTGTGGCTTAATTGCATCAGTTCCTTGTTAGCGCGGGAAAATGTGCTTAGTCGATGTGTTCCTACACAATTATAATATTATTATCAACTGGAGTTAAATACCGGAATGGTTATTAGAGTACAGCGTACTTGTACAGAATGGATTATATAAATCGAAGAGTACAGAGACCGTGTCTAAAGTTCGTATTTGAAACTAGCTGTGCCCGCGACTTTATCCATGCGTAATAATTATTTTATACATATTTTTTTGTTTTGTAGCCCAAACTGATGTTCTATAGTTTAAAGCTACCACAAATGGTCCAAGCAACACAAACAATTTTTCAATTCGAACCAATAGTTCCTGAGATTGACGCATTCAAACAAACAACATTCAACTTTATAATATTAGTATAGATTATAAAATATTGGAACATGGAACATATAAAGAAAATGTCTATATTTTTGTTATATTGAAATTTGGACTTCTTGAGTCGTATGGTGTAAAAGAATTATACAACACCACGTAACGCTTGGCAGTGTTTATCAGTTATCAATAGCAGACGTTGGTAGCTTGGAAAAATCTAGTTTTAATCGGTCAGTGTTGGTTGAGTATATGTTAGTTATGTTTAATCTGTGTAAACTTGTTGGGCAATAGGAGAAGTAACTATCATTAGGCAAAGACATCAATACTGTAGGTGATTTAAAACCAATCTCCTTAAGCAATAACTACTGTGGTCATTGGTCAGCTTGGTCAGGATATCTAATACAGAGTATATTAAGTCACGACCATTTATTGCGAAATGATAAAGACATATCCAATACTTTATATACAATATTAGCTTGATGCAAAAAGTATCCTATGATATTATCATATTTGTTCAATAAATTGGTGGTTTTGGGGAGAAAGATGGGAAGACAGAGATACTAAGGGTTAAAAAAAAAAAATTTTTTTTTTTTTTTTTTTTTTTTTTTTTTTTTTTTTTTTTTTTTTTTTTTTTTTTTTTTATAGGTCTGTGTAAATTCTCAATAAAGATTCTCTAACAAAATCCCGTTTTTTCAACGAACACATTTCTGTGTCCGTTTCACTCATCGGTTGTTTTTGCAGACAACTATAACCGTTGATCAGACTCCTGTGCCCTGCCTGACTGAAACAATTTGCTTTCCCGGAATTCCCAACCCAGGACTTTTCGCACTAAACCCAATGCGGGGTAACGTTTAACCTTTCAGTTACACAGTGAATTATAAAAATGAAGTTACTTAAGACGAGTAGTTAATGTGTATTTCTTTAATATTGATTAATGATATTTAAAAGTGTTTTGATGGTGGCTTTTTATCGCATCTTATTAAATAAGTGAAAGGTCAAATGTTATTTAAAGGTCGTGTCGGTATACGGTGTACTTGATTGATTACTTACTGAAACATCCACTACTGTAATTACCAATCACACATAATAATAAATTAGTTCAGAGCCATATATAACTTCGCGCTTATGACCCACTGAGAAGCCAAATTACTTTCAGTATCACTTACTTTCGTTTATCCACTTTACATTCACATATGGCTTTCAAAAGTAGCATTACCTCCGATTATAAGTAAATGTAATTGTGTTAACTCTCTTATCTAAAAAATATTAATATTAGATCCTTCCTTATGCTATGGTCAATCAAAGAATTGATATAGATATTTATTAATATACTATCAAATCGAAATTTTTGAATATTGTAACTAGGTATTAATACTATCAACATACAAATTACACTACTAATCATCTGTAAGATAGAAAGCATTGGCCCACCAGGGCCATAGGAGTTTTCATTGAGTTTAAAATCATTTTAAAACTGGAATCGTGTTTTATTTTGAATACTTAAATTTTTGTACATTCGGTACGTGTGTATTTTGTATTAAATATAGTGATTTTTCTACCGAAACATTTAGATGTATCCACTGCGAATAATTTGTAAAATAAATATATTGTTTAAATAGTTAAAGAGAATAATGGGTATAGGTACAGTAAACAAGTGTTTCGTCCGCACACATCGTAAGATGGTCAATATTATTAGACCCCATATATCAATGACAGCGGATACCATAGACATATTTTTAATACCATTTTCTTGTAAATTGTTAAAATGATAACGGCGAAACATCTAAGCGATGAGGAAACATAATATGGATCGTTACAAATATGTTCTTTATTTCTGCACCATAGATATGTCAAAACTATTATAGAAATTGCGATAGCAGAACATTGTCTAGCTATTTCCGAACAGAACTTATAACATAT